GTAAATTCATTTATTATAAATAAAACTATTTATTGTATACTTACCGTTGCAAGATTTTCAAAACCGACCTATATAGACAATAACTCAAATAACATTCTAATCTCATATTTAAGTGAGTAAAAATAATAATTTTTTTTTATTTGCCTACTGGTATTCCTGAGGGCTTATAGGAATGTCTCACTACGCGTAAACCGATATTCAACATTGTCAACTAACCGATCGTTCTCATACCCCATCCGGTATGAGCGCCAAAAATACCTTCCCTCAATATCTCGTCCGGTATGAGGATGAAACGGACCGTCGCATAATCTGTCTGGTATTAGCACCAAAAATATCAATCCTTGATACCCCATCCGATATAAGGCAACGTTCACGGCAGGGTTCTCTATATACCCGATTCGTTCATCATTTCTCAGGATATCCAGTAAGGCTACCATTCATTAATTTATATGACCAATTAATTTTCTGTTTGCATATTAATTACCAATTTCACAATCAATCATGAATTACGCAAGATAAGCAATATATACATTAAGGAAGTATATTTGAATCATTTAATCATTCCAGTATATGATCATATAATTAAAGCTGTAAATTCAACAATCAGTTAAACAGAATAACAAATAAATGATTAACCGATTTTCTGCTCCATTGGTAACCTGTAATTATTATCAAAACTTTTTAAATTACACAAAATACCGTATTACTGATTAGTACGTCTCAATTCCATAACAGGGAATAAGATGAGGGATTCTTATCCGAATCGGTGTCCGAAACACCGAACTTTCCACTGCATCTACTGGCGGTTCTTGAGTTTTCTGAATTTTTCTGCGAAGGTTAAAACACGATTCACGTACTTAAAAATACTCCAAAAAATTCAAAATCGGTGTTAAAAACCTTTTCCGGCCAATTTCGAAATTTCGGCACGGCGGCATCGCCGTGCTTTGGCGATGGCACTGCCACCTGTGGCGGCGGTTTGCCTCGGCCTGGCCGTATTCGGTCAGTTTTGGCTAATTTTGACCGATTTTATACTCATCCCTACGAGAAAATACGTTAGTGGATCTCGGTTGGCCGAAAAAAGTTAAAAAACAAAAACCTACCGACATGATTTTTTGGTGCGGCGGTTCCACTAGCTCACCTTCGCGGCTAGGTATTTTTCTTCGGTCAACTTGTAGAAAGTAGAATGGTGAATATAATGGTGGAAAATCGCACGAAACGTGAAACGAGAAGAGGCTCATCGGAGGTAGTTTCAGATTTTGCCAGCGGTTTTTGGCTCATCCGCCATTCATTTTACTCTGATTTGACCATGGGGGTGTTTAGAATTAAATTCTGAAAAGATAGGAGAATTTTTACCTTTTTTGGCAGTCGAATGTGGCTCTGGCACAGCAGTTGGTGACGGTCGGCTCTCTTTTCCGGCAACTGGTTCTTCTTCTCCTGCGGGAGGCTGGCGGCTAAGGTTTGGGTTTGGTGTGATGTGAGATATTTATACCAATCTCCCTTAAATCTGGGTTGTTCATTGTATTTGATCTCGACTGTTCGATTGTATTTAAAGAAAAAATATATCTGAACCGTTCATCGCGATTTGATCTCGACCGTACGATCGCATTTAAAGAGATAACGAATGTGGACCATTCATTGCGTTTAATTGCGACCGTTCGATCGCGCATGAGGATAGAACGAATTTGAACCGTCTGCGCGCGCGGGAACGCATCTGGACCGTCCGATCGCGGACACGCGGATTGCCAGCGTGGCCTCCCGCGTGATACTGAGTCAGCATGCCTTGTTACGCGGCACGCTCCGGTTTGCCGGAGCTGCTGACTTGGCATTCCTACGTGGTGCAATTTTTCTTAATTGCATTTTGACCCCTAATTTTTTATTTTTCTTTCAAAAATACTTTTCAAACTCAAAATTTCACCATTTTTTCTTAAAATTGTTTTTAATTTTATTATCAATATATTTTTTTCCTAATTTCACATTAAATAAAAATTTATTAATTTCAAAATTATATTTGTATATATTTTTTAAATTTTAAAATTAATCCCGGGTCAAATTTTGGGTCTAGGTATTACAGCTCTCTCCTTTTAAAGAAATTTGGTCTCTCAAATTTGTCTCTCTCACTCAATCAAACAGTTGGGGATACTGAGCTCTGAAGTCTGATTCTATCTCCTATGTGGTCTCTGTGTGTGTGTGATTCTGTCATCGGATCTTAACGAAAGAAATTTTTTGGTTACGGAGTACTTTAGTCTTTCGTTCCATAATACCCACCAATATCTCCTCATAGGACAGATTCTCGTGAAGTGAAAGGGGTTCGTGAACCAAGATGTGATAGGGGTCCGAGTTGTACTTACGTAACATAGACACATGAAACCTACTGATTCCCTTAAAATGAGTGACTTTAAGGAACATTTGATCACCTTTCTCAAATTCTAAATCTTTCATCCAAGTGTCCGCATAACTCTTCTATCTACTCTGAGCCGTCTGGTTGTTCTTCCTGATCTTAACTATTTTGGCTGTAGTCTTCTCCACAAGATCTGGGCCAAACAATTTCTTATCACCCACCTCTTCCCAACATATCCGCGATTTGCATGAAAGACCATATAACGCCTCATACGGAGCCATACCAATACTTGCTTGGTAACTGTTATTGTGGGCGAATTCTATTAAGGGTAAATGATCATTCTAATGGCCCCTGAAATCAAGAACACAAACTCGGAGCATATCCTCCAATGTATGGATCGTCATTTTTTATTGTCCATCGATTTGAGAGTGGAATGTGGTACTAAGAGACAGTTTCGTTCTCATGGCTTGCTGAAAACTAGATTAGAACTGATAAGTGAACCTGCGGTCCCTGTCGGATACTACTGTCACTGACACTCCATGTTCCCAACTATCTCCCGGATATACATTCTTGTTATCTTATTTAAGGGGTCGGTCATCTTGATGGCCAATAAATGAGAAAACTTGGTGAGTCGGTCAATAATTACCCAAATAACATCATGTCTCGAGCGTCCCCTAGGCAATCATGTCACGAAATCTATTGTGATGTGTTCCAACTTCTACTCCGGAATCGATAATGGCTGAAATAGCGCGCTTGTGCGTTGATATTCTACTTTGACTTGCTGACACACCAGACATTTAGAAACAAAGTCGGCCACCTCTTTTTTCATTCCGTTCTACCAAAATCGGGGTCACATACTTTGATACATCTTAATGCTTCTGGGATGCATCGCAAACTTTGAGTTATAAGTCTCTATCATGATGTCCATTTTCAGTTCACTCTCATATGGAACACACATCATGTTCTGAAATCTAAGCAACCTATCGGCAGAGACTCGAAATTCTGAATTTATTCCATATTCTGCATCTTTCCTGAGGGCTGTTAGGGTGGAATCGGTGTATTGATCTTTCTTTATTCTCTGAATCAACTCAGGTTGAACAGTTAGGTGGGTTAAACATGTAACTCTCTTCACGTTCTAAAGTCGTACCTATTGTGCAGCCTCTATTATCCTGCATTCTGAAACCATTAGGTGAGCTAATATACCTGTATTTTTTCTGCTGAGTGCGTCGGTTACCACGTTATCCTTATTCGGGTGATATAAGATGTAATCGTAGTCCTTGAGGAGTTTTATTCATCGTCTCTAACGTATGTTGAAATCCTTTTGAGTGAATATGTGTTTCAAGCTCTTATGGTCGGTATAGATCTGAAAAGTTTTCCCATACAAGTAATGGCGCCAAGTCTTCAATGTGTGGATAATCGCGGCAAGTTCTAAGTC